ATGGACCCAAACTAGGACCTGGACCTGGACCTGGACACAGACACAGACCAAGACCCGGACCCAGACCCAGACCTGGGCCCAGACCCGGACCCTTACCTGGGCCCAGACCTGGACCCGGACCCGGACCTGGACACGGACACGGACACGGACCCAGACCCGGACCCGGACCTGGACCCAGACCCAAACCCACACCCGGACCCAGACCCAGACACAGACACAGACACAGACCCAGACCAAGACCCGGACCTGGACCCGGTACCAGACAAAGACAAAGACCCAGACACAGACACAGACACAGACACAGACACAGAGACAGAGACAGAGACAGACCTGGACCCAGACCCATACCCAGACCCGGCTCCTTACCTCCACGATCTGCGCCCCGGCGCTGATGCCCACGCTGTGGGCGGCGCTGCCCTCCGTCACGCGGTGCACGAACACGCCCGTCCTGTTGCCCCCGACGACGGCCATCTGGCCGAGCAGCGCCTCGCCCTGGAAGGAGATGCTGAGCACGCGCCCGTTCAGCCGGATGGCTTTGGGCCGGGAGCGCACCAGGAAGGGGGGGGCCGAGGTCCTGAGCGGGCGGGGGGGGGGGGGGGGGAAAAGAAGAGGAAAAATACATTTTAAAGCACAAAGGAAATGATTTTTTAGCTCAAAATCTTGATCAGGATGGTGGTTATCTTCATTTTAGGGCTGTTCTCGTTATTCTAGTTTGGTTGGATGAGATGATGGTTCTTGTTTTCCTCGGTTCCTTCCTTTGTTTTGGGGTTTGTGTTCCTGGTTCCTTCAGTTTTTTGTTCTTTGCCATCCGTCTTCTTTCTTTTTTTCTTGCGTTCCCTTTTCAGCTTCTGTGTTTTTGGGTTAGTTTCACGGTTTTTATCTGTCCGTTGTCGTTTTCTGTTGGGCTTTTATGATGGAAGGTTTTTCCGAGGCTCCCTGGTTTCCTGTTTTTTCCGTCCCTAACAAACACAAATCCAGACTTCCTGTTTCCAGCCTCAAGCCTGCTTTTTAAATTAGATTTAGGTTTCATAAAATGCTGCTTTTACTGAATTCTGTCTGAACAGAATGGGACGCTCCACAGATCCAAACGCAGAGAAACAGCCTGGAAGTCCAGATATTTGAAAAAGTCGGTTTTCTGCCCTTAAATCCGTTCATAATCAGGTGTTTCTGATTGATCTTAGGCTGTAGAATTTCCTCCATTTCTCCTGATCAAAGAGAGGAGCCTCAGGCTTACCTGTCTGAGCCGGAGTCGCTGGTGGGCTCAGACCCGGACGCCGGCTTGTCCTCGCTCCCCACTAGACCAGAAAACACAGATAAAACCAGAGGTTAATCATCTAAACCTGCTGCTTACAGTCCTGGTGGGGAGACATTAGCTTATTTTGACACGTACCACCGGGCAGGAACACAAAGTCGTCCAGAGAATCGCTCTCCGCCGTTTCCAAACTGTGAGAGAAGAAAACTGTCAGGAACGGGAACTCAAGGCACAGAGATGTTTGACAAAAAAGGTTTTAATAGAACCAAAAGCGCACTCGTAAAGGAGTGGAAGATGAGAAAAAGTACAAAAACGAGGCAAACAAAGCTATTAACAAAAAACACAAAATAAACTCACTCTGAAAGGAGGATCAAAAGTTACAAAGTACCAAATCAAAATCACTCTTACGAGGAATAAACAGGGTTCAAGGCGAAAGGCAAGGATTACTATGGTTTGGTATTAGCTCAGTATGACAAAAGAGAGCCACTGGAACCAGACAAGGAGAGACTCAGACTATCTAAACACATGAAGGGAACCCCAAGTGAACACAATCAGGGAAGATAAGCAGACATGTGACACACAGGGGAGAGCACGAGGCCTGAAACAAGGGGATGTACCTTTCAAAATAAAACAGGAAATGACAAGACAACCATGGAGACGAGACAAAACACCAATAATTCCCCATTTTTATCCATTTTCCTGCACACGCTCATGGTTATAGGGGTGATCCTGTCTGGGTTTGGGGGTGGTCAAAGCCTTTTACTGGGCCGGATCATCCGTGTCCCACTCGGCCTTTACCTGAGGTTGATTAAATGCTGAAAAAAGCCCCCACAAACTTGACCCACCTGCCGTCCGCGTACAGGACCTCCTCCCGTCTGCGTAGAGACTCGGGGCTGGGCGGCTGGGCGTTCCTGGACCGGACGCTGCTCGCCGAGGGGTCCTCACACTACGCCCGCACAAAAAAATACATAAATAAAGTTTCAAACAAATACACCAATTTAGAAGGAGCGAAAACAAATTCACCAATTTAGAGGAAGCGTCTTTTTCCCTAAAGCTGAACTATACATTTATCCCCTTAAAGCCTGAATCTATAGAGCTGTATGCAAAAAAAAAATGTTTTATGTGTGTCTTTGCATTTAAGTAGATGGTAAATTTTACCTTTAATTTTACTTATGCACAAAAAATAAATAGAAATTTTGGTAAGTAAAGGTAAATGTGCGACCACAGGCATAATGCTCAATTTGGGGTCATTTTGGTAACACAATAATACAGTAATATACCAGTGAAAAAAAAAATATATATTTATGATTTATTTATTTATGTATCCACCTGTTTTTTTATTTGTTTATTTATTTGTCGAAAGTTCCTATGTCCATAGCGAACTGCCCTAACCGGCATTGGGGGAATGCAGATTTATTTTACACTCGTTTGTGTAATTTGTGCCACAGTAGACCTCATTTTCGTTTAATTATATCCCATTTTTTAGGAGAAAAGCTCACAGGTGGATGGAAAACCACTGGCTGCTACATGTCTGAGTTTATCAGGATGCTGATCTGAAGCATTTTAGGGTTTTTTAACGGCAGAAAACAGTCCCAGCTGTTTTCCTCCAGCTCAAAGTGACTGTTTTCTGAAGCTGGAAGTCTAAAATGATCCACAGCTCTGAGTTCTAGATTTTAGTCGGCTGGTTTCAGCTCATCAGAACAAAGTTTCCTTCATTTCTGGATGCTGGAACAGAGCTGATTCCAGGAAATGCAGCCTCATTTTGGAGGAAAAATGCATGTATTCTTCATTATTCTGACCATAGCTTGGATCAGATATATTAATGTAGAGATATACCCCCCCCCTCCCCCCTCACCTCTGTACAGGGGGTGAAGGAGACCGGGTTGAGCGCGTCCATGCGGCAGAGCCTGCGTCGGGGGGGCGGGCTCCTCTCGGCTCCAGACCCCAGGCTGTCCCACGCCTCCTTCTCCTGGAGCCACACACACGTTAGATGTCAGCCTTTCTGTGCCTGTCTGAACAGAGCCCGGATGTCTGAGCGGGCCTGAACGCACCTCGGGGCCGGGGGGGCGGCCGGCTCTGGCCCGCAGGCTGAAGGCCGACTCCTGCAGCTCCACCATCTGGCTCCTCAGGGCGTCCTTCTCTGCCAGGATGCGGGCGATGGTGGACTGGGCCTCGTCTCTGGACAGGTAGGCCTGGAAGTACAGGGAGCAGGTTTAGGCCTCCAGAAGATTTATCAGGCCTCCATCAGGCCTCCATCAGGCCTCCATCAGGCCTCCATCAGGCCTCAATCAGCTTCAGGCCTCCATCAGGCCTCAATCAGACCTCAAGCAATCTCTGGCCTCCATTAGGCCTCAATCAGGCCTCAATCAGGCCTCCATCAGGCCTCAATCAGGCCTCCATCAGGCCTCAATCAGGCCTCAATCAGGCCTCCATCAGGCCTCCATCAGGCCTCCATCAGGCCTCCATCAGGCCTCAGTTAGAACTCCAGCAGCCTCAGGCCTCCATTAGGCCTCCATTAGGCCTCCATCAGGCCTCCATCAGGCCTCAATCAGGCCTCAATCAGGCTCAGGCCTCCAGCAGGCCTCCATCAGGCCTCAATCAGGCCTCCATCAGGCCTCCATCAGGCCTCCATCACACCTCTATCAGGCCACCATCGGGCATCCATCAGGCCTCCATCAGACCTCTATCAGGCCTCCATCAGGCCCCCATCAGGCCTCCATCAGGCTCAGGCCTCCAGCAGGCCTCTATCAGGTCTCAATCAGGCTCAGGCCTCAATCAGGCCTCCATCAGGCCTCCATCAGGCCTCCATCAGACCTCCATCAGGCCTCCATCAGGCCTCCATCAGACCTCAATCAGGCCTCCATCAGGCCTCCATCAGACCTCAATCAGGCCTCTATCAGGCCTCCATCAGGCCTCCATCAGGCCTCCATCAGGCCTCCATCAGGCCTCCAGTCAGAATGTGGACGGGCCACATTCTGACTGGGACAAACTGGTTAGGCAGCCTGTAACTCCACTCAGTCTGAGGCTTGTTTTTAGTGGGAAGTATCAGGTTTGTGAAATGTGAAGTATGCGGGGGCAAGAGTTAGCGGAAACAAACTTTGACATTTCAACACCTGGGTGTGAAGAATGGAAACAATAGAAAAAAATAGAAGATGGAAACTAAGCGAGAATGATTTAGAAAATACCTCCGATACTAGTTCCACAATGGAAAAGATTTTATGGTGCTAAGCGGAATGATGAATAATGATATATATATATATACATGGACAGATTGAGACTACCTTTGACCCATGTCGTTCTGGTGTCTTTCCTCCTGGACGTTAGCACACACCCGGATGCTAACGGAGCTAACGCCTACTTCCAGAGAGTTGCTCACTGACTGAGGACCAATCAGAGCTCTGACAGCCTCAAATTACACCCAACCTTTCCGTTTTGATTCAGATATTGTTCAACTACATTTCAAGACCTTTAAATGACACTTTTTTTCAAACCGAATTATTGAATGAAGAGGTACTAGCAAGAGGAACTAGCTGTTTTGGGGCTTTCGGGGGGTTTATCGGACTGTAAAAGAACATCAACGGAGCTTTTTCAGGTAATTTTTCCGGTCATTCTGGTCTCTTTCCTCCTGGACGTTAGCACGCAGCTGGATGCTAACGTAGCTGCTAACGTAGCAGCTAACGGAAATAACGTCTGCTTTCAGAGAGCTGCTCGCTCTGACTGAGGACCAATCAGAGCTCTGACAGCCTCAAATTACACCCTACTTTTTTAGTTTTGATTCAGATATTGTTCAACTACATTTCAAGACCTTTAAATGACACTTTTTTCAAACCGAGGGATTGAATGAAGAGGTACTAGCTAGAGGAAATGGGGGGGGGTTTATCGGTCTGTAAAAGAACATCAACGGAGCTCTTTCCAGTCATTTCTCAGGTCATTCTCGTGTCTTTCCTCCTGGACGTTAGCACACAGCTGGATGCTAACGTAGCAGCTAACGTAGCAGCTAACGTAGCAGCTAACGGAGCTAACGGCTGCTCTCAGAGAGCTGCTCGCTCTGACTGAGGACCAATCAGAGCAGCTCCAGCTCTGAGCTCCTGCCTGAGAGTGGAGGCCGAACAGGAAGTGGGGGAGGAGGCGGGGGGGG